GCAGGAGGGCATGGGAGAAAGGCACAACCTTGGCTCTGCCTCATCCCCCAAGTGCTTCCTAAGAGCCCAAGACCTTGGGACTGGGGCCTAGAGGACAAAAGCTAAGCACCTCGGCAAGGTGAACAGCGCCCTCATGATCAGGCCTCGCCTCCCTTCCCACCTGCTTCCTTGTCCTCCCCAGCTCCTTGTATGTACACCTTACTCTGTGTTCACAACTGTATCCCCAGCTTCCTCCCCATATGGGGTCTCCTTCCAGGCACTGCTTGTATCGTTCCTCTGCTTGAGCCCGTCGCTGTCCTTCGGCCCTGGACTCTCCTTGAAGTCTCAGTCAAGTGGAACTTGCCCTGTGAAGCTGTCCTGGATTCCCCCCAGAGATCCTCCCCATGCTTGCTTTATGCTGTGCCCTCCATTATGGCGTGTGTCAGATACACCGTCAGTTTGTTTTTGCATGCAGAACAACTCCCACTGCACTGTGAGCACAGCCCGTGTTCATCTTAGGATCCTCTGTAAACCAGCACAAAGCCTGGCTTCATGAGTGGTTGCTTAAGAATAAATGCCTGAGTGAATTCTTCTCTTCCTTTCATATAAGACACATTCTTCTAAGAGGCAATGACTTGGGACAATTCCCTGGTGTATTTATTCCAGTGCTTTCCTACTCATTTCTGTGACCTCAGACCCTCTGGGCAGTGGGCAGTGTAGTTCCACTTCAGGTCAGCCACAGTAGCATAGGTAGGATGGGTCACTTAATTTTCCTCCCCATTTTTTTCCCTTGCAGAGCTGTGTTTCTTCAGATGTATTATCAATTCACCCTCAAGTCTTGCCCCCTTTCGTACACTTGTACGTGGTCTTTGTTTATCAAAAGAAAACTTGGCAGGGCAAGAAAGTCCCAGCCTGTTTTCTCTAGCAGAGAAGGAAGTCAGAACTGTTAGCCTTAACTCTGACCTTCAAAGTACTTCAATAAAAGACATTTGTAGTCTTTTGATGCCTGAACGTTTAAATATGTCATTTCCAAAGCCTCAGTGGAACATGGGCCATGACTGAGCTGATATTTTAAGCCTATAGCAGTAAATCCAGCTCCACTTAGACTTGACAGCTGGGGCTACAGAGCCTGAAAAATTATCTGAGGCTGGTACATTGTTCCTTCCTGGGAATATTTTGTCTCCTGTGGCTTACAGAGGTAGCTCAGAAAAGTTCTCAAAGAACACTCATTCAAGCTGTCAAGCTTTGTTACCTGTTCTGAATGAAGCCAGTCAGTCCCATGCACTGCCTTGTTTCCTCCTGTTTTTACACAGTGTCTTATCACAAGTGCTCAGGCTCTCAGAAAACTTGAAGCTCACTTCAGGACTCCATCGCTTTGTCTATTTCAAACTTCAACAACATGCTGATAGCTCATATATCTTTAGCTTAAAAACAAGCAAACAAACGAACTGCAGTCTGCTCTCTGGAGACTCATTTACCTGTCGCATGTCACGGGAATCTGAGTTTTAAAGGACTTTGGTTGAGTCCTTTCAATGCACTTATTGGCTATGTGCTTATGACTGTTTCCCACCGTGGTTAACCAACTTGGAAGACATTAGTCAATGAGTTTTAAGAATGTTTCTTACTTTATATTTTAAAATTTATGTTGCTGGGTAATTTCTTACAATATGAATGCTGAATAATTCTTTTTTATAAACAGTAATTATAAATAGTTATTTATTAATTACAAATACATATTTCTTATAAATACATAATTATTTATTATTTATTAATCATAAATAAATAATTATTTGTTACATTCTCAAAAAACTTAATAATGAATCTCCAAGATTTTTCATATGTAATTAAATAGTAACAAAATCAGAGCCACATAGTAAGCAAATGTCAAATTACCTTGGATTTACAGTGAATAAAGATCACCTTTACCTCCCAAGTCAGCTCTTTAGGAAGATACCAATAGCCCTTCAAATTCCTGAAAACTCCCTCACACACTCACTACGTTCAAATCTCTTATCCTCAGGATCCCTGTGTCACATTTACCTGCCGCTTGTCACTCTTTCATTCTTTGACAATTTAAGCCCCTGTCCCAATGTCTCCAACTCTCTCCAATACTAATTTTGAGTACTTTTCAGTGATTTTAATGACTCTGAAGATGATCCTTCATGGCATCTTCATCTGTTGATTTCTTGATTCTCTCTGCTGCTGATCTTATCTTAAGCAAACTTCAGACACGCTCTTCTAATGGAAATACTTGAGACTTTGTCACTGCCAGTACCTGACACCCCTCCATAGCCTCGATTTCACATATTCATTTTTCCAGCTGCTGATTTCTGTCCTTTCAAGTTACTGTTTTTAATGCTCTTATTCCAAAAATCCTTTGGTTCCTCCAGAATGTACAATTCTTGGTCCTGGCCATTTTTATTGTCCTGCAGCTTCTTCATTTTGGTTTCTGGTTCACTTTCCTGCTTCTGATCCTCATTTCCCTCTCTCCTCAGCGATAGCTCAAGGTTTACTCTTGTAAGAACAGCTGTCTTCCAGAAATCTCCAGGTTCTTAACAATCTTATCTTGTAAGAACCCTACCTGAACCGGTATAGTTGAACATGACTGGTGAAAAGACCCACAGCCACAGAAGGTCTCATTTCAGATGTACTAGCATGAGTCTTGAGTAGACTGGCCAGCATGACACACACCCCTGGTCAAGTCACTCTTCTGCTTCCTACACTTTCCCTTTCTCTTCTGATCTTCACTGACAACTGATGATCTTGCTTCTGATCTCCGCTGGTAAAATAATAATAGTAGAATAGAACCTTAATAAGCTTCCTCTATCATCACCACCTCTCTCCCAGTCCTCCTTCCGAACTCAGAGCCCATGAACTCTGCTTTTTTTCATGCTCTCTTCTTCTTCTGTCCTTGAGAAATCACTCTACATATTCGTCTTCCCACTTTGCTGTGTTCTTTTTCCTTTTTAAAAGGATTTGCTATGGGTACATACATGTGCGGTCATTTCTTCCAAGGGCAAAGGAGACCTCTCTGACTGCACTTACCTGCCCAGTGTTGCTCTTCCTTTCTGCTTCTCTTTATAGCAGTCGTTACCAAAACAATAGTCTCAGGTTTTTCTCTTTCCATTTTCCTTGAGTTCATTCTAATTATGCTTTAGCCCCTCCTACTCCACTAAGACTGATCTTTTCAAAAGTCATCAGTGGCTTCCATGCTGCTAAACTCAACAGGCAACTCTCGGTCCTTGTCTTAGTCACGTCCTTCATCCTTGAGACTCGGTACCCAACAGCCAGCACTTAAAGGAAGAGAGGTTTATTTTGGGTCACAGCTTCAGTCTATGCTCAGCGGGCAGAAATAGCACGGTAGAAGGACACAGGGAAGGAAAGCTGCTTATACCACAGTGACTAGGAATCAGAGAGGGAAGGGAGGAGCTGGGGTAGTAGCTGCACCCTTCTAGGTCATGCTCCCCTCCAACCAGGCCCCATCCCCTAAAGTCACAGTTAGCTATAGCTCAATATATTGAATTATGTAGACATTGAATTATTTAGCTATAATTCAACCACCTTCCCAAAGCCCTGCCTATGAATGCATGAGGCTCTTGGGGACCTCTAGATATACACCATGAGAAAATTCACCTTGCTTGATTTGTGAGCAGAACTTGCTGCTGGTCACTCTGTCCTCCTTGAAATGTTTTCTTTACTGGGATTCCAGGACTCCATGTTTTCTAGATTCTGCTATTCCCACATTGACTGGTTAGTTTCAGTTTTCCTTGCTGTCTCTTTCTCACTTTCCCAGTTTTTAGTGTTGGAAACTTTAGGTCTTGGACCATGTACAACGGTTTTCTGTACTATTTCTACTCATTACCTTCAAGTTCTCATCCTAGAGTATCATGTCTTAAACAGCAGCTACAAGTTAATGACTCCCAGATTTAATTTTCCAGTCTAAATCTCTCTTCTAAATTGTACATATATTTGTCCTTTTACTTATTTGACAACTTCTCTTGTGTGTCTAATACTTGAAAGTTATCATGTCTAAAATCAATCTCCTTGTCTCTTTCCTCCCTAGGTCTCTTTCCTCATTATTCCATGTCTCATTTACGAGTAACTCCATCCTTTCAGTGACTTAGGCAAAAAAAAAAAAAAAAGCCTCAGGCAGCACTGAGGTTTCTCTTTTCTCCCACCTCTAACATAGACTCCAACAGAAACATTTTCAGGTTCTACCTACAGAGCTGAAACCTGACCACTTCTCGTTACTTCCTCAGCTATCACTCTGCTACAGACTTTCTTCGGCTGCAGGCATAGCTGTCATGGCACTGAATGGCCCAAATGCCTAGGTGCCTTTTCTCCCATCTGGAGGATGACTGGAAGTCTCACATCTGCCCGGGTCTCCTAAGTCAGACTTCGCCATTTCAGATTCAACCATATGTTGTTACAATTGCCATCACTACTTAGTCCTCCTTAAATATGAAACTTTCCTGAGGGGAATAACAATGTTTTCAGGTGCTGGTGTTCAAACTTAGGACATGGTGCATGCCAGCCAGGTAAGTGCTCTCCCACTGAGCTACACCCCTAGGAATGACAACCCTTAGTTTTTAATGTATATTAATGTATACATACATGTGTATATTTGTCTCACCTTGTCCTCCCCAAGTATTTAAGGCAGATAAATAAATACATGAAATGTATAACAAAATAGGAAAATAAGAGGGGAAATTAGGTGAAAGGAAAATAAGGATAGGTAGAAAACACTCAAGTGAATTGAGGAAGAGATGAAGTGATCATGTGAGCCCATATCCCAGGGGTGCAGCATGTGAGCCCCCTCCTCCAAGGCTACTTGATGAACCCCCATAATGAGGCACTAATAGCACAGTGGCTTCTTGGCCTACAGAGGGACAGGCTGGTGTCTCACAGGGAAAGGCTTAGGACAAGAAGTGAGGTGATGCTCTCACTTGAGATCTGTGCCTCAGTCATTTCCTGGCCCCTCCCGTCTCCCACCCACCCCGTGTGACACCCCAGGTACTTACCAAGACCCAAGCAAGAAACTCTGAGTCCTGATTTTCCAAGATTTCTAGAATAAAAATAAAGCAACACATGGTCATTGCTTCCTGAAGTAAAACCACACACATTTAACCATAGACATCTTTCTGGACAACAGCAGTGGTAGTGACAGAGCCATGTGTGGTCTCAGGAAGTAGCTCTTGTTCCTCACCATTTCATTATTGAGAGGCTCAAAATCTGCTGAGGCTCAGCATAGCAACACGGTGGTTCATACAAAACACGTCTTTTCAGGCCCAAATTATCTCTTTATTAATTTATTTATACATTCATTGCCCTTTTCTCGCCTAACATGAACTAGGAGAGAAGGAACTTTATTCACCAAACAACCATTCAGCATTCATCACAAAGCCTGACACACAGTAGGAACTTCATTAATATCTGTTAATGTTATGTAAGTATCTGTTAATATCTGTTCGTGTTATGTAATGTTATGTAAGTATGTATATACAGGATAGCTAACATAGTTGTACTACTGTCTTCTATTGCCCTACAGAAAGGAACAGTTAATGATTACTTGTTTTACTCAATCTTGTATATCTCTATTTGTCTTCCTGAGAAACCACTTTGAAGCTATCAATAAGTAATACAACAACCATGGTTAATTTCCTACAACTTTGTCTGTAACTCTGTTTTGTTTGTATTATTCTTACACTATTTTGTAAATGAATGTCTGTCTGTTAATATGTTTTCCTTCTTTTATTTTTTAAAATAAAAAAATCACAAAAAATTAATATCTGTTGATCTATTGACTAACAAACTGACTTCTAAAAGAAATTATTTTCAACAGGAAAAAAGGCATTTTTATGTTATCTCAGTTACATTCCATTTCTTAAAATGCAAGGGAAGGTAAAATTATCACAGGAAGTTTAGAGAATCTTTTAAAAACAATTTTTTCTTTCTTCCTCTACATTTTTTAACCCCAAAACTTGATCAAGGAAAAAAAATATACTTTTGCTGTACAAATAGAGCAAGGAATGCTAATATTATTTGCTTATGTGTCTGTGGAAATCTAGATTCAACCTATTTTTCTGTCTGTCATGGAAGAAAGCAAATTCTCAGGGAGAAGATGCATCGTAGAATTAGTGGAGAGCTTCATACTGAGAAGGCAAGGCTGACATCATTGCGACAGTGCTGGAAAGTACACCCCTTACTCGCTGGACGGGTGCTCTCATAAGAAAGAATACAATTTCCCTTCCTGCTTCTACCTCAGACTTAGCAGTGAGCAGCTCGGGTCACTTCTCCAGGTTCTCCATTTGTCATCAGCTTTGTTTTTTCAGAGTTAGAAACTGGTGCTCTCATTTTTGTATCACAGTTTATTCTCTTGCTTAGTGTTATTTATAAAATACCACCTAAGTAACATACGTAGTTTCATAGCATAGCTAAGATTTACCTCACAGTGCAGAGTTGTAAGACCTGGGGGGATCTAGCTGGGTGAGCTCTGGGGAAATGGTTTCTTTTTCCTGGGTTCAATTTCTTTTTTTTTTGTTGTTTTTTTTGTTTTTTCTCCGGTACTGGGAACCGAACTCACGACCTTGCGCTTGCCAGGCAGGCGCTTTTGCCGCTGAGCTAAATCCCCAGCCCCAATTTCTTATTAGTGAGACAGAATGATGATGCTGGTGCCATTCACCCAGCTTCCCCATTATGAGGACAGCCTATGATAACGTGCGCTAACGTGTTGCAGAGTAATCAAATGCAAGGAGTTATGACTTGATGCTTCCTAATTCTGCTGACCCTCTCACAGATACAGAATTAAATTTCCCATTCATTGGATATTTCCAGATGGAAGAAAACTGTTTTATGAAGGTACATGTGAAAAATATCTTGAACTACTAAGTTGGAGGAAAAAGAACTGAACTTCTCTTATGAAAATAATGTTCATAAGACAATGTTCTTTGAATGATTTTTCAGAAATCTATAGGAGGTATCTCCAGAAGGGCTTTCTTTGTCATCTGAATCTCTACTGATTTTAAAAGAGGAATCTAGAGCAAAAGCTGTGTAGTGGAGAGGATAAAAAATACTAAATCCAAAATAAAATAAAAATCAAAATAAAACTTTAAAAGTGAATAACTTCTTCATCCAGGCAGAAACAGTCCACATTAATGAATCAACAAATACACGAAGAGAGGTCACCAGGCAACGCACATGATCGTGAGGACAAAGAGAGGGACAAGGTACAGCTCTACCTCAAGGAACCTGGGGCCCAGCGGGACACAGTAAAACGAATGTGTCTTCACAAAGCGGTAGGTTTGTCCTACCATGAGGATCTTGGGGAGCAGGGCAGGGAGGCGAGGGTTACTTCAGGCTTGTGTTTGTGCAGTTTTGTGTAGTTGTGGGGAAAAAGATCTAGATGCAAGTTTCATGTAATTTTAGTATCTTTCGGTGATTCCAAGAACACCAGCAAGGAGCGACTTGGCACAGAAAACCATGCAGAGCAAAATGGTTCTGAGCTTTAGGCTTCAGAGTCCATAAGGTTTTTTTTCTAACAGACTCAAAAAAAGCAAGCTTATGTCACCGAGTTCTTACTGAGCAACAGCTCAGCACCCGTGGTGGGGAGACTTGCCCTGTTTGCGACTTAAGAAGATAATGATCACTTGGCTATAGGTTTAGAAGACCAAACTGGAGAACTGTCAGCAAAAACAAACTGCAAAGTAGCAAGAATTAAATGTGGCTCATTTTCTTGCCGCTGTTGTTTAAACACACAGGGCGGCTTTTATGGAGCACAGCTTGAAAAAAATTTACAATGTGAGGAAACTTCAATTCCAGACAAATATTGATGCAGTGGTGATAGAACCCATCTTGAGGTTTGGTGGTTTTATTTCTTTGACTTTTAAATTCCTATTATTCTGCAAATATCTTCCTTCTCTAAAGAGGATGGTTACCAAACTCATGCAGTTGTTTTAAAAGTGAGAGATATTTTCGGTGCACAAGATAGCTGGGTCTTTCAGTGAGTTGCCCTTACTTTGTTCTGCTGTCTCTTTGTGAGACTTGTAGCCTGTGGAGCATTCTTGATCCATGATGGTGCGACTCACTTTGCAGACAAGAGAAGGTAGGAGGGATCACCTCAGGCTTAAGCCATGGAATCTTAGCCTCATTTCTATTATTCCAGAGAGTGTACCTGCCTCTTCCTAGTTCTGTGTCTGAGCAATAGTAGGCACAGCTATGGTAACTGTGCAGGTACCCTGATCCATTGAAGCTCTGCTGGATTTATCAGTCATGCTGGGCTATGTCACATCTTCCAAAACCTTCACCTCAGACATATATAATTTTCATAAATGGCTCCTAATTTTGTGGCGCATTGTGCAACAAAACTTTATGTACTTTCATTTTATTTCTTAATTCCTCAGTGTTCACAGGAGCAAGGTTACATAAAAATTCTCTAAGTGCATTAGATTTCCCATTGAATTGAATTCCTTTCCCATTTGATTTAAAATAGTTTCACTGAACAGGTTTACCTATTTTATCTGTGTCAGATATTCCAGAAGGAAGTATCACCATGTTCATTTTTAGTATCTGCTCCTGTGCAACTCAAAAATAAGAGCTCTTCTATCCCAAGTGAACCTGAAACGCTTTGCTGCTAATATTAGAGATGAATGACATCAATACGGGGGCATGGGGCACTTAGCTTTGTCAGTCAAATTTTGGAAATTCTAAATCTTAAAGCTCTGCTGCAGGAGAATCCAAAGCTTGTATTTCTTCTTTTTTGGGGAAGGCAGGTTGTCTGTCCACTCAGTGAATACCGAGCTGAATTTATTTTAGGGCAATTGTCAGGTCCATAACAGATGCATCAAATGTAACTCCTCGCATCATTTTATAGAGCATCCATGAGGCTCTTTTTGATTTTAAAGCAAATTAGATATGGAGAAATTAGAACTGAAATCAAGTGTTACTCCCGCAAAGTATCATATGCCACTCTCCTGCTTACCGATCCTTTACAAATCAGGGAAGCTAAACCCAGGAGATTAGCAGTCAAATGCATTGTTTTAAATTACTTGCTTCTAGATGTTAATGTCTTAGGTATTATTCATCATTTTAAACTGCTAGGAAGGAGTAGCTAGCTAAGACATGTGCCTTGCCTTTGACCAAGAATAAGCACACTGCATGGGACCCAGTCCCTGAGTTAAAGGTTGACACAGCAGGGAATACTGAAAGCATATGTAAGGGGCTCCAGTGACTGGGTAGGCTGGCAAAAGCAATTGGGTCTGACCTGGTTTTCACACGGTCAGATCATTACGTCGTTTGTCTTCTCACTCTACGTGAACATTGTTCCAATCCCAGTAAAGTTCACACTCTGCTGTGTGTCGTGCCTTATCTGCAAGCTAACTAATCAAGTCTGGGTTTGTTTTTTTTTTTGTTTTAAATAAATGGGCATTTAACCTTTCTTGAAAAAAAAATAGAACCAAAAGTTTGTTTATTTGTCAGCCAGCTGGTTTTGGCAGTTCCATGAGGTTGTACGTTTCGACCCCAGGAAGGTGACTACAGTGATAATATGTTTTCACTGCTCATGACTGTCAGTGAGTGATGACTCATTTGAAACCACAAGCCGCAAAAGAGAGGTAGCCATGCACTTCAGTGACAGAGACTGACAAGTAGGACAGTGGAACTTATTTTATTCCTATATCTAAAGAGCAACAAAGTAGAATAAGATTGTTGTTGATTCTTTGATTAAAGGATGTCATTGTCCATTGTAAAATCTGAACAGCTGTTTTCTTGGAACATCTAAACTCACCCACTGATTTATTTCAGTTGACATTATGGTCCCAAAGTGCATCCATTTTCCTACAAATGACTCAAATTTATCCTTCTTTATGGCAGAGTAGTACTCCATTGTGTATAAGTACCACATTTTCTATAAAGTTAATATTGCATGGTTTCTTATATAGGTGAAACCCAAAGTATAAATAAATTAAAAAGAAAAAGAAAAGATAATGGGAAACAGGGAGATAAAGAGATGGAAGGAAGAGAAAGGGGGTGAAAAAAGAATTAAAATGTGTTAGGTACATGAACCAATTC